CCATATTCTAACAAACATCTTTGGATCAATGCGTCCTCATTGTCCTCAGCTTCCCCTTCTGCTGCTACATATTGCCAGCGTCTTTTAGGTGCGTATGCATCCAACAGAAACTGGACCTCTTTCTTCAGCGGTGCAGCAAGTTGCCTTTCCTTTTGTGGGCTCATAACTTGCAGATACGCTCTCTCCCGACGGATTTTATCCAAATGATGAGCTTCTTTCCCCTCTTCTATCAACCATGACACAAGTTTCAGCACTGTTTCAATGTCTCCAAAGTCCTGAAGCAGCAACTGATGCGGCTGGATCGCCACAGGGCAGGTATAACTAAGAGCCTCGATGCAGCGTACTGCCTCCTGTGCAAGCCCCAGTCGAGGCTTCATCTTGTCGTGGGACTGGAATAGCACGTCCCATCGCACTCTTCCCTTCTCAGCGTCCTCTCTCTTCACAATTCGCTGTAATAACCACGTGACGCCGCTGAGAACGCGGTCGAAGGCGCTGTACGAGTTCACACCCGCCTTGGGGAACCCTGCGGCCTCTAGAGATTCTAAGACACGCGACAACTTGGCAGCGGCCTCTGCGCCGTACTCTCCGGCCAATTCATAAGCGTCGTGAGGCGCTTGCGGAGCTGTCGAGGCGCTAGGAGCGGCGGTAACCCACGTCGAGCTGAACATGGTGCGGAATCCAAGAGTGATGATCAAATTGAAGATCCTGACGAATTCGTTTAAGTACGACACAAATGAGCAACTTTACAGTACCTCAAGTTGTTATCTTACGTTGCAGCAGGAGTGATGGTCTCTCGACGAACGCATAGTCAGTTCAAGTGACGTCACTTCGCAACGTATCCGCAAAGACATGTCGGACGCGACGCCTTCCGTGGCTCGCATGCGCGCCATCCTGCGCCAGATCTCGGCTGGTGGGCAACCTGCCAGTGTCTCCCTTCCTTCTACTCCCTCCCCTCCATTGGCACTGAGCCCCGCTACACGCTGGAACGGCTGGGGCTTCCACGACACGAAGCTCTTCGTCAACTCGAACAAAGTGATCGAAATCTCCGGCGCTCGCTATGCCGAAGTGTTCGCTAATGCGCCAGACCGCACACTGCCTTCATTGTTGCCCTGGGCCGAGAAGCGGCTAGGACTGGACGCTGATCGCCGCAGTGCGCCTAGTATCACGTGTGCCGAGGAGTTGAGGCTTAGGAACCAGCTGGACGAAGGTGGAGAGACGTACAGAGCTCTCATGCAGTTCCTACACTTGGCAAGCGAAGAGCTCGGCATAAACACCAGCATGACAGTTGAAGAGCGCGTGCGTCACGGCCACGGACAGACCTGTGAAGACGTGTTCAGACTGCGCCACGTGCGGGACGTCGAGAGAGTCCCTGATGCTGTGGTGTGGCCCACGAGTCATGAACAAGTGGAGATTCTAGTGAACGAAGTGACGCAAAAATACGCAGATAAAGTGTGTATTATTCCATTCGGAGGAGGAACCAACGTCACCAACGCGCTAGAGTGCGATCCTA